TCTGAGGTGAAGCACTTACAAATACTGTTAATGTAGACTGTAAATAAAAGTGGTCCTAGGACACTACCCTGCACAACCTCACATGTGATCTACCTGGGATCGGACAATACTGACCCGACTTTGGTTACTTGTATCCTCTTGCTTAGAAATGATTTTAACCGGTTCAGTGATGGCTTGCAAATTCCATATGAGTACAGCTTCCCAAAGAGAATTCTGTGAGATACCATGTCAAATGCCCTAGATATATCGAAGTAGAGAACAACAACTAGCTTACGTGCTTCGCGACTACTAGTGATGCAGTTGAAAAAGTCGAAGTGGCAAGTAACGCAAGACCTATTTTTGAGAAATCCGTGTTGAGACCTTGTAACAAGATCTTCCGTAAGTAGATAGTCTGATAATTGATCTTTGACAACTTTCTCCATGATTCGCGAGATAACTGGAGTTATATTTATGTGTCTGTAATTGCGAACGTTTGCCTTATCACCAGATTTGTAGTGTAGAATTATAAAGCTAGTTTTCCACTCAGGAAAAGTGCCAGTGTCCACAGATATTGAGAAGAATTTAAGAAGTAACAGGGGAATATCACTGTTTTTGAAAATTATTGAGGCAAGGCCATCCGGTCCCCATGCTAGTAGAAGGTCTAATGTTTTTAATTGCTTATTCCATTAATTGATTGGTGAACACTATGCACCCGAGGGAAAGGCTAGTAAGGAGTGCGGTTTCACCAGGGATGTGTGTTTCTAAACTAAAGTTCGCAAACCACTCACTGAACAGTTCACAGATGGTGGCAGGCTCATTGTAGATTACTTTTTCGTGAAGTAAGTAGAAAATGTCCTTCGTCGACAGCAATTTTTTAAGAAGTGTCGTTAGGTTGTAAACTTTGGAGGTACTTTTGGGCTCATTTAGCTTTTCGTTGAGGTCATTTTGAGAGCACAGACGCTTGACAGATTCAGGTGACTCATGAATTGATTGCAGTAGTGATATATCCTTAGTGGAATAGTACTGTTTCATCAACTTCCTTAACTTATTGCGGTATGCCGTTGGAATGTATTCAGCTTGGTGCCTGCTTAATTTTACTACCTTCTTGGGAGCAACAGTATCTGGACAAAGGGAAACATTCTATTTGTGCGTCAGCACCGGAAGAGTTTATAAATAATAAAGGGGTCGGACTGGGTACCCATACGTCGGGGTTATAGTGCGATGGGGTGATGCCATGGGTCGTATTAGTGGTTCAGGACACATAAAACATTTACTGTGATCCTGGATATACGGGTAGTAGTGGTTGGGCCCGGGTTGTGGATTAAAAGGCATAGCATTGTAAGGTCTACCCATCACCCTGCTATTTGGCTTACCAGTACGCATCTTGGTGTTGTTTTAATAACCAGAGGAATATTGTGGGGAAAGGTGCTTCGGTTGCAGAAATTTAGGGGTTTTGGGGACTAGGTCTCTATGAGACAGAGCATCCTGAAAACCACCAAATATACTTGTGTTTTGAGAGAATTTCTTCGTATCAAGTGTGGGCTTGTTGACACGCTTACTCTCAGCAGGCTTATTCAATACAAAGTATTCTTCCCCATGATTAGCCTCAATCCTGCGAAATTTGTTCGCCATGGTAAGGTAACTACGTTTGAGTGAAAATTTCCCAGAACAACTTGCAGAAGTTCTAGCCATTTTAACATCTTTCAGTGAGGCTTTATTTACAGGGATACTGATATCTAAATCAGTTCGTAGCTCCATTGGCGGGCGTGGTTGTTGTGTAGTTTGCTGAATGCTGCTGTACACGATCCACTTTCAGTCAGTTTAAGCCAGAGAAGGTGACCAGATTATTACTACACATTATTCTGCGTTGACACTGTGTTTTATCCTGAGCTGTGTTTACAGACTTATAACTGCTATTCAGCCTTAAGTGATCTTGAAATTTAGTAAACTTACTAGCATCAAAAGAATTATCGAACTTAAAAATGATGGGATAATTAGACTGGGTTGACTGTTTACGAAGTCTTTTGCATTCACATGGAACACTAGCCGTGCCACAACAATCCACGATTTTGTTTTTTATTGTCTTAAGAGGCGTGGAGTCTGGCATATTGTAAACTATAGCCTGATGAGAAGAGGCTATACACTTCATCACTTTGGTATGAAGAGAGTGCAGAGATATGCAATAACACCACAACTCATAGCCCTGTTCCTGTCCACAATCTGGTCTATTCAGCACAAGGAAAAGAACTGGCCTTCAAAGGCTAAATAGCCGAGACTGGGTTGAATATACGAGCTTCTTTGATCTCCTGCCGTCCCACTGATAGCGTCGAATTGGTTCTTGGACTATTCCCAGTCTGTATGCATATGAATACGGTACGAAACGCTCCGTGGATCATTTTTCTCTTATATTCGGCGATGATATGGGTAAAGAACAGGGTGACATTCTACATTAGTTATTGCAAAATCTGTCACCAGCATAGTCAGGCAGAACACAAAGTCCAAAATGTTGTCATCACGATGAGCGTTAAAGTGCATTGAGAAGCATAAGTGCCATAGGGATGTCAAGACTGGGAGAATAATATCCGTCTGGAAAAATTCAGATACGTTAACAACTTAGAATTCACATGATTCCTCGGATTTATCTGGTGAAATGGAGGTGTTAACTTTTTCAACGTATCACAATATTCACTTCAACTACAAAGTCAAGCAAGTTCCATTCTTTTACTATTCACTCCGGAAGTATTGGCTACCACTTCGCAGGCATATACAGGAAGGACTCACTACTAGTTGAGTTACAGGTATTACTGGTTATAAGCTACCCATTATCCTTACTGTTGACGTTCCTTGAGATGTATAAGAGTTAGGCATGTAAATGTTCCCGTTCTCTTTAGTGAATATGGTTCACTCTTAAATTGTTGCTATTCTAAATGTCGCTTTTCACCGAATCGTTCAACGAGTTCTTGCCCAAAGAACCGGCTTCGAGCAGTTCAAAGTGTGATGATCCCGTCTTTCGGAAGTGCCGAAAACGGAATAGTCATGATTCAGCCCCGTAGCTCAGTCATTTTGAACAACGACTTTACGATATACAGGAATTTTCACAAGTTGAATTTGATTTGTCAGAATCAAGGAAATGTTTGGTTGAAGCGGCGAGACGGAAAGAAAAGTGCACACAAGATGCAGTGCCTATTGAATCTCGGGATTGAATATATAGCAGAAGAAGTGGCTCATCTGAGTTCTCAAGTTCCTCCCCTAGACTGCATGCTTCTAATCCAACGGCAGTACTAGAAGGAATTAAACTTTTATCAGCGGGTCTTTTTAGATAAATACTATGCGTCAAAACATTCACCATGGTATGCAATTTACCAAGACCAACTGTTTATAAGAAACCGTCCACGGTTATTTGGCGCATTACTTCGACAGAAAGAACCGATGACCACAATTTATCACCCTAGGTCGCTCAACCCATCGTCTTGTATCCAGGTTCCAATCGAGGGTCTGTTGTTACTCAACAGTCTCTTCAGCCTGTATCTGACTCAATTCCATTTCCTCGTTATATTTCCCGGGCAGTAGGCTCTTGGTTGGTTTGTTGCCAAAGTTCCCTGTTGCTAATCTTTTCTGGCCACTTGTTCTTCGTAGTGGAGTGAAGGCAGCTATCAGCAAAGGTCAGAAGCTCATTCGAAATGTTTCCGGTGAAAAATCAAGTTCCTGAACCATGTAGAAGCTCTGACTGACTTGAAATTAGTGTTTAAAATCCGAATCTTGATTCATATTCCCGGTCATTAGAATTCCAGACCGACTTCAAATTAATAAATGCGTCGGACCGTTGGGGGAGGGGACTCAGGAATACGCTAGACGACTGATAAGAAGACTCTAGAAGATCTGTATTTCGCAGATGATATGTGCCTAATGTCACACAAACTCGAAGACTTGCAAGCGAACACCAACAAACTGGCTGAAGCAGCAGGCAGCGAAAACAGGACTGCAGGTGGACATAGAGAAGACCGAGGTGATGAAGATAACCAGTCAACAGCAACAACAGCCAGCACCAGTCACCACCGATGGGGGAGATTTAGCAGGTGTTACCTCCTTCACTTACCTGAGAAGCACCGTTCCAACTACAGACAATCGGAACGAACGAAGATGTCAAAGTCAGAATCGGAAAGGCGAGATATGCCCACATCAAACTGAAACCAGTTTGGAAATCTTCCGCTTTCACAATAAGGAACAAGATTCGCATTTTCAACACTAATGTGAAATTGGTTCTTCTGTACGGGTCAGAGACTTGGCGGATCTCGAAAAGCGTTTCCAACAGGTTGCAGACTTTGATCAACAGCTGCCATTTTCGCTGGTTTTATACTAAAGATCAAATGGCCAGAAGGAATAAGCAACAAGAAATTATGGGGACAAACCAACCAAGGGCCCATTGCTCGACAGATATGTAGGAGAAAGTGGAGATGGATCGGGCATACATTGAGGAGGCCGCCGAATGACATCGCACGCCAGGCCCTCGAGTTGAAGCCGAGTGGGAAGCGACTAGTGGGTCGTCGCTCTGAGGGTAACAGAGGAGATCGTGTGAGGAAGAGATGAGAGAGTTTGGTCAATCATGGACCCACCTGATGAGGACGGCAGAAAACCGGACAAAGTGGAGATTTGTTGTTGAAGCCCTATGTTCTACTCGGGACGCAAGGGGATAATAATAATAATAGAAATATGTTACATATCTTACGAAAAGTGCTGTTGCGAACTTGTGGCGTAATCTACGGAATCCAAACTAACCCGCAAGTTAATATCCTCCATATTTGCAATTTTTCTTTAAATTTCAAAGTTCCCTGCCTGATATCAATGGTTTCATATATAGGAAGGTGGGTTCATGAGACATTGTTTGAATCAGCTGGAGCTAGGTTTACAAAAGCGGGTAATTCGAGGTTGATTTTCCTCGTATTAGGTATTTGTGGCTGTTGAGTGTGTTTAGGACTAATGATGTTTCAAGAATCCTAACTTCTTCGTAATTCTGTGACGCAATGGATTTACAGGCATCTTATCCTGAGGGACATGTTTTCAAGGAAAATAAACTAAAGTTTGCAAAATATTCTGGTTTCCCCAAGTACTCAGAACTTGTTGGTTTTCACAAACAAATTGATTATCTGAGGGATGAGAATAGCATATGTTCAAATAGAAATACCCACCTTACACACAAAAAAAGAAAAGTAGATGATTCTAATCTCCAAGATCATGATGGTTCTTCCGCCCCAAGGATTCATTGCCTTCACGTACCACCATCTCCAAACAGCCATCTGCCTAATCATTTGGGGAATCATGTCGGCTCGTTTATGCAGCAACAAATTTGTACATACAATGCGGCAACTTTGGGGGTCACTTCAACAAGTGGTTCAGTTGCTAATTTCTGTTCAGGCAGTACAATGCAGGCTAATGTAGCGGGCACGAATGCACTGCAGATAACGGCATCAAAAGCTACCTCAAAAATGACTACAACAGAGGGCGACTATGCTATTGTTGTTGGCGAGATGCTAAGTTCTGGAAGTGAGGCCTATGAAGTCTTGGCTTTCCTTGGTCGAGGAACATTCGGACAGGTTGTGAAGTGCCGATGTCAGTCAAGTAATCGTTATGTGGCTATCAAAATATTGAAAAATCTACCATCTTATCTCAGACAAGGTAATGTAGAAATCCAGATCCTTCAAACTCTTGCACAACAGGACACAGAGTCACACAATATAGTCAGAGCCATTGAATGTTTCCAGCATAAGAATCATATGTGTTTTGTATTTGAGTTGCTAGACCAAAATTTGTATGAATACCTCAAATCGAATAAGTTTCGTCCATTAACTTTGCCGGAAATTCGACCTATCTCACAACAGGTGCTTACAGCGTTATCAAAGCTGAAAACTCTCGGCTTAATTCATGCCGACCTAAAGCCAGAGAACATAATGCTGGTGAACCCAGGCTCTGAAAATATGCGTTACCGCGTGAAGGTAATTGATTTCGGGTCTGCATGTCATAGCTCCAAAGCTGTTCAGAATACGTATCTGCAGTCACGTTACTACCGCGCTCCTGAGATATTACTCGGTCTTCCCTTTGATGAAGCTATCGATATGTGGTCATTGGGCTGTGTTTTAGCAGAACTTTTTCTTGGTTGGCCATTGTATCCTGGTTCATCTGAGTATGATCAGGTAAGTCTGTTGCTCTAAATACATGAATTCGGTTGTGATGTGCTACTTTTTATTTACTGTAAGCCGATGTACATAATCTCTCTCTCCAGATAACGCCGAAATTTACTGCTTTTGCATAGAGCTGCTGATTTACGTTTAAAATCTAAGAAGTAGCATGGTAATTCAGCTAACGTTTGTATTGGAATCGATAGTATTAGGTTATGTATGTTTTGGTTTACGTAACATTGCCTTTAGTTTCCACTTCCTATTTACATATTTTGTTTCCATGTTTGATTTTCGTCATTATTTGTCGTATCCTATCCCATTATTTTGTAACTTCAAACCATATTCTTTACAAATGGGCCATCTGAATGGATGCTCAAGGGCTTGAAAACATATGTCGAGGGAATGTTATTGCCTGGAAACGTCTGACTTGCTGACCACGCTGAACGTGAATAGGCATACCCTGTCAATTTTGACGATTTCATGGATATATACCCGTCCAGAAGTTTCATAGTATCTAGCCATAAAAGTTCTGGGCGATATGTTTCTATCTCACGTAATCTAGTTCTTATCATTCCCTGCATTCTGAAGCTGCACGCTTTAGAGTTTTAGTAGCGTTGTTTTAATATGGAGTGGGGCTACTGGCCATACGCATAACCTCTTTTCCGGTCTTTCTGCGGGCTAGTAAACTAGGTGGGGTGTAAGAGCGCATCAATTGGAAACGGGGCCTGACGGTTTGAGTTTCAACACAAAACTTTGCACAGAAGTGCAGTAGTTCAAATTGCAACACATGAAGGTAGAGAAGAGAGGAAAGAAGGGTTAAAAACGAAATTTGAAAGGAATCAAATGAAATGTACGAGCAAAAGAATAGTGACGTGAAAAATTGAAAGGCTTAATAGATCTGCGAGATTATAAGTAGTGAGTGAATCTGTGCCATTGGGGACGATTTTGAGTCATTGAGTCACTGGATCTTTGCATCCTGAGGACCCTTACTCGACAGTCTACACCTCTCCATTGTTCATCACCGTATCTGACGTTACTGTATCAGGTCCTGTTGCTTTGCTTGTACCCAGTTGAGGAATGGCTTCAATAACCTACGCTACAGTTAAGTAGCTGGTGTCTAAATTTATTTCATTTTGGCTGGGGCAAAATGAGTGCGGCCGTAGGCTAATTAAACTTTCCTATCAAGCATTACAGACGTCACTTGTGACAAGTTATTATAGTTCTGTCCTTCGCAGGAATCGTTTTACACTCAAAGTTGTCACATTGTCGTTTTTCTTAATAAGCCTAAATGCTTGATGGGTGTTAATTATTGGAAGTGTCTGTTCTGTTTAATTCGATCACAAGTTCCCAATACTATTCAGAGTACTTGCGAAGACTGTTATTTATCTCACTTTCTGTGTTTGGAGCCCCTTAGGATTAGTTTCCTTTGATCTCTCAGCTTAGACGGCACTGCAGAGATTCACTGACGTTTGCCAATATCTGACTGCTTTTACTACTGTTTCTGTGGTAAACTGGATATAATGCAAAGCTTCTTCAGTATGGGTACGGCTGTTACGTCCATATATGATAATCTATCTCCTAAAGTCTCCTAAATAGAGACTTAGTTTTCATTGGGAATCAAGACATGTAAGGGTTTTGTAGCTGCTCATTAGTAACGTCCCTGTAACACATACACGAACTGCTGCGTGATTGGCTTCCATACAGTTAATGGGAGAGGCGATTTCTACCGACACTCGATTGGTGACTTATAGCTAGGTGACTTGATATCGGTGGTCGCCGAGTGAGAAAATGTCTGTCTATGCTAGAGAATAATACCAGTCGGGAATATGTAATTATCTGAGGAAGATTGTTAAAGACGACCATAGTTGTCAGCCCATCGATGAGACACTTTAGACACCCTTAGTGTTCTTCCGGAGTAGCTTGTTCCCTACTTGAACATTAGAATCATCTAAGGCGGCTTACACTGATGGTAACTGCTTTCAGTGTGACCGCCATCCAAACAACCTTTTTAGTATGGTAAGGCCTGCAGAAATATTAGTTCCATTCAGCGTAGCTCGTTGAATGATTGCAGTGTATAAACCCGACTAGCCACGTCAAGGTAGGAGCTACCAGTTGTGACCCCACTCTATAAACTGTCATCTTTGTCCTGATAACTATCAATCAGAACCTCCGTTGAATTGGCCGTCGTGTAAGGCCATGTAATGCACAGAATGCAGCATCAAGTAAGCTGATTGATATTGCTCCGAATCAAAATAGGTTGTTTTCTCCTATACAATTGTTGTATATGCTCATTAAACATACTGAAGTTTTTTTTGGTATACATGCATTTTGTTTTGATATCTGTTGTGATAAAATTATTATTGTATACACCCTGATCGTATCTTACATTTCTTCCTAACGGTTGATCACATTAACTTTGGGAATTTGCATTGGACTCGATTTTCACAGTCCCCTATTTGTTGCTGTGCTGTTTTTCGGAATTGGTTAAGTGTGTAACCAAATAAGGCGTCAAAACTTGTTTGTTGTGGTACCTCATGTGACATGGTGCGGCTATTATCATCACATTGATCCTTTGTGTTTAGATTATCAGTCTTACTTAATGTTCACCACCTGAATTCCCATGCGGAAGTCGGTAAAGCAGGAACGGAATATGGGATTGACTAACAGAAATCTGTGTTTAAGTTAATAAACCAAAATTAATCGAAAAATATATCCGGTATTGTTGTCAGTCCAGCAGATCAGATATTGCCTATACACAGTAGTTACTCAGTGGAAGTGACTCAGTGACTTGAGGATTCGGCTTTTGAGCTAGTGGGTTCCGGATTCGAATCCCCCTCTACCTACTCCAGCTTGAGCAACTTGATAGTACTATCAACCCTCTCATCACACAACAAGTGTAGCTCATAGCCTGGAATAGAAAAGGTCTGTTCAGGGAATTGAGTTCAAACATGCACACGGATGTTACATAGACTCAGCAGACAGAGTTGTATCTTATACGAAATAATTTCTGGCCATATTTTCACCAGTGTTTGCTTTTACTTAATCGTTTCATCACATTTTCGACCTTGCACACAAAGTGCTGACTGCAATATAAAAGATGGTGAGCGAAATTGTTTCTTTGCTGAATTAGATGAGAAAATTAATGAGCCTTGTCGATTTGTCGAGTTTTACTATCACACTCTGTTATACGTATACCTAAAATAATAATTTTGATATTTTGCTATGGCATTCAATCTGTGCATTAGTGTCAGAATTTGAGGCCGATATTGAATTCTTTTTCTCTTCTCTTGAATTTAGATGCGATACATAGTTGAAACACAGGGTCTACCTCCCTCAGATATGTTAAAGAATGCTGGGAAGTGTAGTACATTTTTTGTACGAGACCATTATCGTTGTGATTGGCGATTAAAAACTCAGGAAGAATATACTGCAGAAACTGGTCAACAAGCTAAAGAGGCCAGAAAGTATTTCTTTAGTTCATTAAATCAAATACGTGATGTCAATGGCCCCACTGTACCTGAAGAATCAGATCTGGATAGTGCAGATCGTCAACATTTCACTAATTTTCTAACTCAAATGTTAAAAATGCGTCCATCTGACAGAATAACACCTGATACAGCCCTTCAGCATTCTTTTGTAACTATGGATCACCTTCATTGTCAGCCTTTCTCTAAACGGTGAGTTTATCATATCCCGATTTTACTTTTAGAAATCATTTGAGTCGAACTGCATACCCCTGTCTACGAAGGTTGTCGCAGCTATTTGCACCTCACAGCATTTAAATATTAGCCTTTTTTCAATATTATTTTCAATATTAGCAATAAGATGATAACTCGTGAACTCATTAATTGATAGGGTCTACCTAGTGAAGTTTTTTATTAGCAATCTCCGAAGGTAAACCAGTTCCGCAATAGAGTAATCTTATTCGATAGTGGCAGTATTTATTTCATGATGAGTGCATTGAGTATAACTCACTTCTGGTGTTACTTACGATGAAAAAGCTGACAAATATACCAATACATCACTTTATTAATACTCAATTTGGATATAAATCAAGAATAAGATTCGCTGCTGTACTGAGCAAGGTTATATGGGGGAATTAACTTCAAGCTTTATTTTTTCCCAAGTGTTTGTAATCCATCCAACACACATTTGGGCTTTTCTTTTGTTAATGCGAAGACAATATGTCTATATTTCTTGATGTGCTCCATTAAATGACTAGTTAGCAGATTGTTTCCACAAACTAAAGACAACAACCATGTAAATTCATCATGAATCAAATTTATGTAATTTAAATAATACCTATCCATACCTGTACAATTGGTGTGTCCTACATAGATAGGAATAAATATATGTATGCCTCAAGCACAGTGTACTGTTCATAGTCGTATCAAGGTACTCACAACTTTTCACATTTCATGTAAGATGATGTTGCAGGATTGCACTACACCGACCCCTAGATTAGAAATAGGAAGTGAAGTGGTAGAGCACGTTGACCGTTTCACTTATTTGGGAAGTACCATCAGTCCCAACGGGTTGATCTCTGACGAAATCTCAGCACGAATATAGAGGGCTAGTTTCGCATATGCCAGTTTACGCCGTCTCTGGAGTAGACGTGATATCCGACTGTCGACCAAAGAGCGTGTGTACTGCTCATCAGTCCGCTCCGTCCTCCTTTATGGCTGTGAGACCTGGCCATTGAGAGTGGAAGACATGAAAAGATTAGCTGTCTTTGATCATAGGTGTCTGCGTTCTATCTCCCGCGTGAAGTGGTATAATAAGGTGAGCAATGTTGAGGTTAGGCATAGGTCGAGTGCTAGGTAAGGAGGGGAAATCAGTCGACGAGACTGAAATTACATCGACTGAGATGGTTAGGACATGTGTTACGTATGCCTAGTCATCGCCATTCTCGACGGGTAATGTTAGCTGACATAGGGTCAGGTTGAGAAAGAGTCAGTGTTGGTCAAACGGAAACATGGGATCAGTCAATGAAACCCACAACAGTTAGTTTAAGCCAGCCACGTAGGAAGGTGTAGACTTCCTGACTGGTTGGGGTCCTCGGGACGGTAAAAACCAATAGTTGGAAACAATTGGTGACATGACTCAAAATCGTCCTCATTGGCGCAGATGCATCCACTCCTTGTGACTTATGATTTCCAATTAAACTGTTTTGTTCTTCGTTATTACTATACCTTTGTCTCACACCTCTGTTTACTGACTATATAATGAATTTCTCCTACTTTCTTTTCTTCCTTTGTGTGCTACATGGAGTGTGGCGACTTGAACTGCAGCACATATGTGCATAGTTCTATGTCGAAAACCGACCGACCGACCGAGTTCTATTATATCATCCTCTGATTTTATCAATAATATTCAAAAGATGAGAAATAGTAGAACTTATAAAAAGGTTCGAAAGTTGTAAGTACCTTGATATGATTATGAGCAGTAGTGTGCTTAAAATATCGTTGCTAAATTAATGATACTGTCACTGATTCTTTGTCAAATAGAACTATTCTATTGTGGAGTTATACTCTACCACAGTGTTCAAATCCTTCTCTTATATTGTGATTATCCGGACCATACCTTGCGGCGGTTACATAGCCGGCGGTAATATTTTAATACGGCCACAACTCTGAAAATCACTTCAAACAGGCCGTATATAACCAACCTCGAGCAGTTGTCCACTGGGCTCTTCGACACTTGTATTCCAAAAGAAATTAAACTTCCACTGTATAGGCAACTGGGAAGTAATAACTGCACTGAAAACATTCTTGATTATCACCCACCTTTATGTCCATCACCATCGTCCTACTTTTCACCCACTGTTACTATTATTCCTCAAGTTGGTCCTCCACTTTCTTTTAACTCTGCGACCATTAATTGCTACCAGAGCTGGAGAAACTGCCGATAGTCTCTTAAGACCACACTAGCAATTTTATATTGGAGTCTTTTATGTCAGGAACCTTCTCCAAATTGAACAACAGACATCACTAGAAAGAACTCTGGCATCTCGAGCCATGGATGTATGTTGTGTTTCGGAGACACGCATACATGACCCAAGTGTGGTTATTCACTTAACTCCACCTGACCAACAGAGGGAATCCGCGAAATTCACCTCAAGGGTGTCAGGATATTCTTCGGTTTGTTCGCGACGACTCGCATTTGTATCGATAGCATTGAGGACTAGGACAAAAATTCCCTACTTGACTGGGTCCCAGTAGATAGTCGTAGATAGATGTGTACTGTCCATCTGAAGGAGTCCGTTAGAAGAAAGATTGCGAGGCCCTTTTAATGTCTTTTCATAATCTCTGCTTACGCGCCAACGGACTACAGTTCGGACAAAGTTACGGATGAATTCTGTCAAAAGCTGTTTAGTTTGCTGCTAAAACCAAAGCGCTCAGATACAGTCATTCTAGCAAGCAACTTCAATGCTCAAGTAGGGTATTTTTGAACCAGTTAGAAAAGTATATTAGCGGCACGTATGGAATCCCATGCCAGTGAATCTATACTAGTGATCGTCTTCCACAGTTCTGTTCAGATAATCATCTGTTCCCAGTCAGCAATACGAGCATAAAGAGAGACTTAGTCTAACCTGGCGACCTTCATTATCACAGCAGCTATAGACTCAAATAGATTACTTAGCTATAGGCCATGGATGGCAGGAACCTATCGAAGACTGCCACTCCTTCTGGAACACCTGCATAGACTCTGGTCACTCACTAGTTTAACTAGATAATGTGGTAGTAGTTCCATTGGACTAATAATGCTGAGATAAAAACAAAGCTGTGTGCGAAACTGTTCAGTTGCTTTATGAAGTTGCAATTCGTTTACATTGGTGTTATTCCTAGATGGAAGAAGATAAACTGTAAACATTTTTCTGAGGTTTTTCAGCAGTCATTGGAATTTAATCATTTATACTTCCCGTCTGGCGTTGTGATAAAATAAAATTTGCCTATTTTCATCGAGATAGTTTAGATTTTTGAATACTTATTCTTTATGCCGTCATGTCCCACATATTATTCAAACATTATCTCACATGTTGGTTAATTCTTTTAGGACTCAAGAATCTCTCTCATTGATGCAGGTTTGTTATGGAAATGCACGTAAACAATATTCATCAAGTGATATTGCCTTGAACTCAAAATATATGCCATTGCCTCAGAAGGTTATGACCACCAGCTTTCCAGAGACATGTCATTATGCTAATTCCACTGGTATTACTGCTCAAACTGATGTTTCTCCACAATCTAACTATCAAGCCAGTCATCTGTCTAACTGTCGTGCTGATGCCAGAGCTGCGTATTATGCTGCTGCTGCCGCAGCGGCTGCATTTTCCTCAAAGCCAACTTCACAGCTTCTACCAATATCTGGTAGTACTTCTTCTAGCTTACCATGCTTGCATCAGTATGCTTCATTGAGCGCTGTAAATGAAGCTCAGCATTTGTCAGTCAGTGTAGCGGAACCAGGCAATGTATGCACAATTATTGAGTGCACCCCCGCAACTATAATAATTTCCCAAAGCAAACCTGAGATTTGTATGCGATCGTGTCAGGCTGCAGGAGGAGGTCATCCAACTTATGCACCTCCATTACAACGTTCTCTTTCATTTTATGATCTAGTAAGTGCTGGCGGTGCTGGTACCGCACTGTCTTTGCTAAGTGCTGTTACTGCTCCTGCAACATCACCTTTCTTAATAAACAATTCTATACAAACTTCCAATATTCAACCGTCAAATGTTCTGTCTACAAACAGTCTTTCAAATGATGTACGCCAGATGTTACATCATCCTGTTCATTCTGTTTGTCTTCAGCGAGGATTAAACAGACTATCTTCTGTTGAAGGTGATAACTCATTTGTATTAGATATTACTAATCATGAGAAAGGAATTGCAGCGCATACTATTCCCCATAATTGTGTTGATGTGACATGCAAACCAAAAAGTAGACTATGCGATACACTATGCGCTTTAGTGAATCATCAACATTTGTATAAAAATCCAGCAACTGCAGCTGCAGCATTGGCCGTAGCTCGTCAGCATCAACAAAATTTCAACAACAATCGAAGGCATTCTCTAATTTCTGCCAAAAGTGCTCAAAGTAATGAATATAATTTTGTCCAGGCTATGTCTAAAGGATGCGGTGGTTGTCGTTCAGACTGTTCAACACACTTGACATCATCAGGTGTACTGCACAACTCAAAAGTCAATGAAGTGACTCGTTCAGTAAGTATCTTTTGATTACTTCAAAATCAACTACGCAGTTATCATTCCTAATGTTTTTTTTATCTATCTAGTTACAACCTAAGTGTTTAAAATTTTTAAGAAAATATATTGTAGGTTAATTGGTGGATGGTGACTAGCAGTGGAATCCAGGATGCGCGTTTCGTCCTATTTGGGACTCGTCATTTGGATGTACCTGCATTCCGCAGTGAGTGATGACGTTCCCACTGGGTTCGAGCCTCAAACATCCTGGATTCCACTGCTAGTCACCATCCACCAAATAACTTCTGATTACATGCCCAGACATCGTCGAAGCATCTGCACAAGAAGCCGACATGTCAACCTGAGACTGAGCACTTCGGTCAAATCAGTCGACGGGAAAATCTAAAATTCAATTAAGTAAAGTATATTGTAGTTTTCTGAAGTTGAGTTTGTATGCCTTTGACAGATCTTAGGATAGATTTTTGTATAAATTCTGTTGACCATTAAGTCAGTTGAGTGTAAAGACAACAACAGTTGGAATTCACGAGGCAGTGGATTCCACTCCAGTAAATGAATAGCGAGAGTGTTTGCTTCGTATCCTAAAGGTCGTCAACCTAATCATTGCATGCGTTGTGTGTGTGTGTGTGTGCGGTCTCTATTAAAGGGTTGCATGCCAGAACAAAATAGCTACCAGGCGCTCGATAGTTTTCAGTAGGGTGAGTTTGTTATTCTAAACTTTATCGATTTCAAAAAAGTTACAGCTTTACTTTACTTGTTGACCTTCATTCGTGTTGCATTCTATTCAGCTACTACAGACATTTTATTACTTTTTGCACATGTGTTTATAATAAGTTTACGAGTTCATTCATTAATAAATGGTGCTTTATTTCTCTACAGTTTGCTCCTGTGTAAACATAATTATATATTTTTGTTTCAAGCGTGGTGCAATGTATGAAGTCCACGGGTCAGCAACTCAACAATTCCTTTCATGTCAAGAATTTTCCCTTCAAAATCATGAACAGCAGCAGCAACAACAACAACAGCAATCTCATGGCGGAACCAATCATAGTGATATCCGTAAACCTTCTATTACACATAATTATTCTAATAATCATTTTGTAAATGATATTGATTGTGTACCTATGAATCTGGTGACGAATAATTCAGAGCCAACAGTGAACAATGCGATTAATTTGTCTATGTTACCTCCAAGTAAGTATATTTTTGGCGTATTCTCTGAAATGGTAATATCTAGTATTCGTTTTTTTTGATTTATTCCAATTTTCATTCTTTCTATTGTCATCGGTGGTTAGGCAGTAGGATGCTCGTCAACCTTGCATGCGCCGACCTTTACCTCACTTAATTCGGCTCTAACCCTGACAAAGAGGGGAGGTTGGACGCGAGGGGCTAGCAACATATAACTTTGCACCGATGTACAGCAGTTCGAGTCGCCACACTCATTCCTTGTAGCACACAAAGCAAGAGAACAAAATAAAAAACAAATGCAAAACAGAGACGGTAAACAGAGATATGAGACAAAAGGAAAAGTAATATCGAAGAAGCATATAGTTTTATTGAATATTATAAGTCACAAGGAGTGGATGCACCTGCACTGTCATTGAGAAAGATTTGAAGCCATGTCATTGGTTTTTACCAACCTGAGGACCCAAACCAGGAAGTCTACACCTTCCTACGTGGCTGGCTTAAACTAACTTTTGTGGATTTCATTGACTGGTGCCATGTTTTCGTTTGACCAACACTGGCTGTTTCTCAACCTGACCCTATGCCAGCTTACACTGCCCGTCGCGGAAGGTGGTGGTTAGACATACGTTCCACTTGGAACGCAAAAGGAACTAAATAAATAATAAAAATAAATTTTCATACACATTGTTTAAATTACTTCGTTGAAAAAAAAGTCAAAAGAGCGATTTTGATATATTCACAGTAACTATTCACCTGTTTGAAATCGTTTGCTTATACGCAAGATTCTATGCCAATCTGTCTGTATATTCCTTTCTGGTTATCTACTTGGAAGTTTGTCATTGTAAGTTTATATGCGATAAATTATTGGTGATAGTTCTTTCATACTAGGTTTGTATTGTGACAGTAGAAGACGAAAGACTTGGTAAAGGAATGTTTATTTGGAATTTGCTATCTCTATAAAGCGCAATTATGTACACCTTTATCTCCTCAAAGCACTATTTGCACAGTTCTTCCGTGTTGTGCTACTGCTGGCCTTCCTTCATACTGTGTCCCTTTCACGCCTCGTATGTTTCTCCGCAACTCCGAATCATTTGCTGTCTCTGACATCGAATCTATCTATCTCCCTGCTATTTGATGTTTTTATGCCGATAAACATCTGTGTATATACTACTGATAAATCTTACCAGTAGCACACACCACAGTATTGTTTGATATTCGTACACAGATACACTGGAGATTAGCATTGTACACTTTTGTCTCACAGTTGAAAAGCATGTGTGAGATTTGCACTACTTCCGACTCTTTCACTAATCTTTTTTTCATAATTTCATTAATTCTTTGCAAAATATAGAGTGTATTTTAATTAAATGTCCAATGTTTATAATTATATTGCTGAACTAAATAACTAAATCCAGACTACTCAATTCACACTTAAGCAAGTGTGTGACAATCAACATTTGTTGTATCCTTATAAAGTTTGCATTACTTAAAGTGTGACGAGGTGGTTCATACGTCATGCATCTATAGTCCGTTGTTTGGGGGGTAGACTGCATCCTTCTTTTAGTGAAGTTTGCAATGTGGCCATCATGCTAGGTAGCTCCGCAATATGGTGGACTGAGAATTCTTTTTATTAGATGGTTGGAAGCAATTAGCAGGGAACTTTGCCTGACTCCGGTTTTGTGCTAGTTGGCACTTGCCAGTCATCACAAGGCATATCTGCAATCTTGAAGAAACCCATAAAATCCCTTCTGGGGTTCAGACCCGTGTCATCCAGTGTGCTGCAGTAAGAGATGTTACCACTGAGCTATTCGGATTCATGAATGACCTCCTGTAGGACTGTATTAGATACTTTGACTAATAGAATTCTGTCTGCACATGACACTAGTTACTAGTGTCCAATCAAAAGTATTCAATACAGTTCTACAGGAGCTCAGTCACGAGCCCTAATGGCAGCACACTGAATGACACGTGTCTGGACTCCAGAAAGGATTATGGGTTTCTTCAAGATTGCAGATACGCCTTGTGATGACTAGTGAGTGCCAACTAGCACAAAACCTAGGTCAGACAAAGTTTCCTGCCAATTGCCTTCAACCATCTAATATCGACAATTCAAAGTGCACCGTGATGGCGAGCCACCTAGAATGATGACCGCATTGCAAACTTCACTGACAGGAGAATTCAGTCTACGCCAAACAAAGGACTATAGACTCATGACACTAGTTAGTGTCCAATCACAGGTTCATGTTAATTGTTTGTGATTGTCAGCAGCTAGCATTCGCAAAAACACTAGTTAACGCTACTTCCTTATATATATACTCCACATCTCTCTTTGTTACTAGATCATTGTGCTTTCTTTAGGACTGTTATCGCTCATTATGGGGATTATTGAGCAACTATGATTCTATTCGGTGACTTGTTCAATTTTTATTCAGGTATATATATACAATCCACATTAGGTTAATAATAATTAGCTAGTGTTAGTCAACCATATAAAGACTTTTCTCGTAGTAAAGAATCATCAAATGAAATAAACACTTTATTTTTGGAATAAAGCATGTTTAAATTCAAATGTTGTTGGTATTCTGTTGGAAGCACATGGATTCGTTGTCAATGTAAATTTACACCGTCAAAATAAATGTATTTCATTCCCATCGGACATTTTGTGTGTGTGTGTGTTTTAAGTGAGAACAAATAATTAGAATTTGTGTAAAGCTATTATCGATCTGTATTCAGTCAATGTTGGCTTGCAGGGAGCTGATATCAGATAGAGGACCACTGGAAACTACCAGAAAGGGGAGTACTGGACAATTGTTTCGGACTGTTTAATAATAATAATAATTTATATTTTCATATAAATATAAATTTACATGAAAATGCATGCCATTTTTACAGGCACGATCAAGTGTGATATAGTGACAAATAGTAGATTGTCTACAAGTTAATGTTTGAACAGCTAAATATTTGATATATATACACTCATTGTCTAACCCATGTCGTATCATTATTGAATTAAACAGTAGTCCCCCAGGTTGCGCAGGAAAACCGGCTTCGTTTCGTTTTCAACCCGTAGTTGTAGGCATACGATAACCAACCAATACTGAGGTACGTACAACGTTTACAAGGGATAGTAAGCTGTTTTAGAAAAGTAAAGGTGCTAAGGTGAATCATTAAAGTGTAATGAAATAGGTAAATACAATGTATCATTAATAGATGCATTCATAAAGGAAATATAATGGGAGACTATAATCCCTAGGCTGACAAAGTTCATTTGCAATGTATAATGCTACCCTATAGGTCTTACTATCATGATGTCCACTTTTGGTTTAATACAATTATCCACAAGCCGGTTGTTTTAATTTCATACCTTTTTGTGTATTTGGTGCACAACCGTACCCTATAGAGAATAGGAATAGAATAAGTCGAATCAAATTCATAAAGAGCTATAAAATGTTAGGTTTAGTGGAATATAATGAGCAAGTGAAGACGTTATTAGAAAATGTATGAGATGAGACATTGTTAAGTGATATTCGAAGATACGACAAAGGAAAGCATGTTAATTTATAAGATGCCCCATAAATCTGTGCAGAGACCACGTGGTCGCATCTCAGCGATAGGCTGACCGAATGGTATATGTTTAAAGATAGAAGCATGATCTGTCCAGGCGATCATTATAATCTTTTTCAAGATAAAGATTCAAGCCCTCATAGAAATCTCGAGCCGTCAAATTGCATATTGCTGTTCCTGCAGAATGGGGCGATTCACCTTAGTGTACCACCCACTCACCCACTGGATTTCGAACTTAGAACCTTTTGCTTACAAGACCAGCGAGCTTATAGACCATTCAGCAACTGGAAGTCGTCGATCCAATGGTTCATGAACTCTAAGTTCTGTCAATTGGGGGGGGGGCATATATAGCTCGACCGCTGGCCCAATGTCCGAAGCGAGTTACTGTACTCTTACTTGTGTATGTCGCGAATTAATAGCAGTTGAAATTGCTGGGCCATTGAATCGTGTCCCAGTGGCTGAGCGGTCTGCGAGTTTGCGTTTTAACTGAGTAGCTCTGGGTTTTGAGCCGTCACTGGGAGCGTACTGATGAAGAGTCCCAAAGCAGGATGAAACAGCCATCCGAAACCCCCAGGTTTTCCAATAGTCCCCTAACGGGTCGAATAAATTTAAGTCCAAATAAAATTATCTTAGGAAAACGTAGAAGTTGTGTGTCTATGTGTGTGTGTGTGTGTGTGTAAGTTGGTAAAGCTGGAAAAACACATTTAGTAAGAAACATACCAATTCTAAGTAATTTGTAATTATGCATAGACTGGCCAACAGTCACATATTGGCAAAAATATACTAAGAATTGGCTAGCTAGTCTAGATAATTCAACCCTTAAACCAGGTGTGGTCATTAGAAGTAATTTGTAATTTTCCCATATTTTAACTTATTCATTGAATAATAGGTTGGCATATAACTTTTGCATCAAATATATATATATATATATATATATATATATATATATATATACCACCACTACCTAGGTAGGTATATTCACTTCTAAACCACACCCATATGATGTGTTATGTAAAGGCTTTCAATGGCAGTTGGAAGATAATCTCTCTCTCTCCATGTTACTATGTTAATCTGTTTTCTTTTTCTTTTTTTTTCTCACAACAATATCATCTGCACAAATATCTTTTAGTTTATAATTCGAAGTTTTGGTAGATTTCTCTTGTTTTATTATTATTATTTTTTTGTGAATGAAAGAGATTAAAAAGTGTGTGTATGTATACCTACTGTTCACTCGTCATTTTCGATTATATATTATAAGTTCCGAAGGAAGGGACCCGTCGAATCTTCTTCTTTAAAGAGGGTCATCCTGAAAAAAATAGTTAATTTAAGTAAGCCCCTTCAATTTTCTCAAATGTGATGAATAGTCTACCTGGTGGTAATGAGTGGACAGCAACAGTAGCATCAGCAATCTTGGAATGTTTTGCATGAAATTCATCTGCTCCTGTCAAATGTAAGATGATGCCACAGGATTGACTGAACTACACCGATTCCTAGCTTGAAGAAAGGGAGTGAAGTGGTTGGTGGAGCGTGCTGACCAGTTTACTTATTTGGGAAGCTGAATTACCCCCAAAGAGAGCTGATTGCTGACGAAAACTCAGCACGGATACCGAAGGCTCGTTTGGCATACGTCAACTGACGCCATTTCTGGCGTAGATATGTGGCTGGCTGTCAACCAAACGACGTATGTACTTCTCAGCAGTCACTTTTCTCTGTTCTCCTTTATGTCTGTGAGTAAGACATGGTCATTGAAAGTGGGAAACATGAAAAGGCTAGCTGACTGTCTTTGATCATAGGTGCCTGCGTTCTATCTCCCGTGGTAAGTGGTATGATAGGGTGAACAATATTGGGGTCAGGCATCGAGTGCTAGCTAAAGAGAGGATGGACGTGTTACGCATGCATCCCTAGCCATCGCCTTCCTCGACCGATGGGCAATGTTAACTGACATAGAATGGATCAGGTTGGAAAAGAGCTAGTGGTGGTCAAAACAGAATATAGCTTCATCAGTCAATGAAATCCACAGCAGTTAGTTTAAGCCAACCTCGTAGGGAGGTGTAGCCTTCTTGACTGGTTGTGTTCCTCGGGATGGTAAAAACCAATGAAGGCTGAAAACAATTGGTGATATGACTCAAAACCTATGCCAATGGCGGAGTTGCATTCACTCTTTGTGATTTATCATATGCAATAAAACTCTATTATTCTTCCATATTACTATTCTTTTTCCCTCACATTTCTGTTTATTGTCTGTTTACTGTCTTCTCTTGCTTTGTTCGCTAAAAGGAGGGAGTGTGACAACTGGAATTGCTGCACATCTGTGCAAAGTTCTCTGTTGAAACCAATCAATCAGTCAGCCGTGTAAACTGCAAATTTTCTAATTGTGAATAGTCAAGTACTGAACTATCATCTACTTAAGCTAGAAGTTTCTTAGTAGGTTGTTTTCTCTCAGACAGGTATTCGTATTGCGAAGCTCTTATTGACCTTCTAGACAACATCAGCGCTAACTTCAAAATGAATGTTTGCTAAGATAGAATCTAGTGGTGTGAACCCATGATGGTTCCGCCCACCTGTCTGCTATAGTTCACTGTTGGCCGTAAGTTGTTGGCGTTTGCTACAGCATTAAAATTAACTAATCACGCGATAATCTGAATGTTGGTGGTAGTTGAAAGGATAGAAGTGGCATTTAACTGATGCACTGTCGTGCCACTTTGGTTTATCCGCGTCTCCGAAGCGATAGTGTGGATTTATTAGGATGTAAAAAAAATCGTCACTTAAATTTTCAGATTAGAAGATCTATTAGGATCTTAAGGGCAGCATGAGGTACCAACAGCTATATCAGGTTTGATTGTCCTCTGACATTAGAAATGGTGCCTAGAGAGAATCAACACACTGCATATACCCTTCAGTCAACACCAGAATTTCTAACCTCTCATTCTTGAAATTCTCGCAAATATCATTATCATTTTTTTGTCATTTACATAATAGTTCCATATATGTATCTATCCCATAAAAATGTGGTTTTTGTTAACAGATTTGAAAAAAAATTATCTTTCACTGTCAACTTTTCTATGTCACAATTACATCCTCTAGATTCATTGTATAATCCTGGTCGTATGAAACGTCCTTCAGCAGCCATAGAATCCAATTCTGAGGCAATCAATCAGATTGCACATAGTTTACCTCAGGGTGGTGGTAACTCTTCGTTCAATTGTTCATCAGAAGTTATACCAAATAATAGTCCAATCAAATCGGAGTTTGGATCTACTGCTGGGTGAGTCTTAATCATTCTCCGCAGAAACTTATGATATGCCTTGGGCGGCCGCATGTTGATTTGAGCATAGCTTACACTCTATTCATATTTGTTGAATCATTTTTATGAATTATGGGAAACACTGGAAAACCTGGGAGTACTGGACAGCTGTTTCGTCCTAGTTTGGGGGCTCTTCAACAGTAAGCACCCATCGGGATTCGAAGAGTCCCAAATTAGGACGAAACATCTGTCCAGTACTCCCAGGTTTTCTAGTGGTTCTCTAACTGATGTAAGCTCGTGATGAAATCCTCCATGCAATCAAACAAAATCCCTACAAAACCAATACTTAAAAATTATGAGAAACAAAACTAGGTTTCGACTTGTTGACACGAAAATCTGCAGTGATGATCAATGGTAGGTAGATAAACGAACCAGCTTTAAATATTTGCTAGTTTCAACATAAAGGAGTTGAATTTAGTAATCACGCTTAGGTGTTGTGTGTATGTCTCAGATATACATGTGAGAGAACTAAAGATAAATTAGCGTATAGTAGTGGTTGTCAACACTTACTTGTCTTTTGGCCAGTGGATCGAGGGTTTGAATCCCTCTATATGTACGTCAGCTTAGGTGGTAACTGGTTATTGTAATCAAGCTTCATATTCTACTATTATATTAAAATTCTGACCTAAGTAACTAATCTATAACTATGTTTTCAAGTATTGGTTTTGTAGGGCTTTTTGTTTGATTGCCTGGAGGATTTCATCATGAGCTGACATGAGTTAGAGAACCACTGGAAAACCTGGGAGTACTGGACAGCTGTTCCCCCCGTCCTAGTTTAGGACTCTTCATCAGTACGCACCCATTGCCACTGGGGTTCGAACCCAGGACCTTCTGGTTACAAGGCCATCGAGCTAGCTTGTAGACCATTGAGCCACTGGGACCCGATCCAATGGTCCTTGAATTCTAACTTCTGCCAATTCACTCACGACATAGCGCGAGCATTTCGCAATGTCTTCTTCGATGAGTTACTGCCTCATCTTCAACCTTCTGTACCCTACTGGTCACGGCTCCCCACTAGAACCCTAGGTTAACTGCCTGAAAAAGGCCAGTCGCTAGTGAGCATCAGACTAATTTTCAAGTATTGATTTTGTAGGGATTTTTGTTTGATTGCGTGGCAGAAGTTAGAATTCAATGACCATTGGATCGTGTCCCAGTGATTGTCTTAATGGTCTATGAGCTAGCTCGCCTTGTAACCAGAAGGTCCTGGGTCCAAACCCTGGCAGTGGGTGCGTACTGCTGAAGAGTCCCAAACTAGGTAAACGAAACAGCTCTGCAGTACTCCCAGCTGATTTTCCAGTGGTTCTCTAACTGATGTCAGCTCATGATGAAATCCTCCGTGCAATATAACTATATTAATAAAGTCTAACTTACCACACAAGTACAGTAGTTCAATTTATCACAATTCGCGAAGGCATATAAAGCAAAATATCAGGAATGCGATATTCATGATGAACTGGTGGTGTGTTTGGGAGAGGAGGTAATTTATTATTATTATTGCTCCCTTGGGTTTGGAGTGGAACATAGGAGGCTTCAACAGCACATCTCCACTTTGTCCTATTCTCTGCGGTCCTCTCTAACTGTCTCCACAATTCCCTATAGTCTCTCACCTTCTCCATATCACACTCGTACCCACACCCAACTCTTCGTTTCCCACTCGGGTCCCACTGGAGCAGTAATGACCTGGAGAGCTATGTCATTCGTCGGTCGCCTCAGTGGCGTGTGTCTGATTCATCTCCATTTTCTTCACAATAATTTTTGAGCAATAGGTTGTTGGTTTGTCACCAGAATTACTTGTTTCTAAATGTTTCTGCCAACTATCTGATCTTCAGCATTCAGCCAGCGAAGGTGGCAGCTGTTAATAAAAGTATTAGATAGTTGGAGGCAATCTGCAAGAAGCCTTGGACCTAGGTTTCGTACTAGTTGGCACTCATCAGCGAGACGTATCTGCAACCTTGAAGGAACTCATGTCCCTTCTGAGATTCGAACCTACATCACCCAGTGAGCACTGCAGTCAGAGACGTTACCACTGAGCTATTCAGGCTTGCGATTGACCTCCTGTATGACTGTAGTAGGTATTTTGAAAGAAAGGACTAGACACCCCACACTAGTTACTAGTGTCCAATCAAAATACCCACCACAGTCCTACAGGAGGTCAATCGCCAGCCTGAATAGCTCAGTGGTAACGTCTCTGACTGCAGTGCTCACTGGGTGACGTGGGTTCGAATCTCAGAAGGGACATGAGTCCCTTTAAGGCAGTTGCAGATACGCCTAGCTGACTGACTGGTGAGTGCCAACTAGCACGAAACCTAGGTCCAAGGCTTCCTGTGGCCGATTGCTTCCAACTATCTAATATCATCAAATCAATGTGCACTGTGGTGGCGAGCTACCTAGAATGGTGGCCACATTGCAAAACCTGACTGATAGAATTCAGTCTGCACCAAACAGAGGACTAGACACGCCACACTTGTTCATAGAAGTCTTCAGCAGGTTGTTAGAAATGATTTTAGTGACGCATGTGCTGTGTAAGTTTCTGACCCATATAGAAGAACTGACTGACTGACTTAACACTGGTGTTGAAAATCCGAATTTTGTTGTTTATGCCGACTGTGTGTAGAAGACTTACAAACTGATCACAGAGTGATAGAGGTGTGTCATACCCTTCCGATTCTGTCGTCATTAATCCTGTTTTTCTGATAAGTGAAGCAATGCGTTTATTGTAAAGCTGATTACAATCTGTTGCTTAAGAGATGTGTAACGCTGCGAATGGTACCCAGAGTGATATTGAAAAGTTTCTGTCCAAGAAGGTTGAACATCAAGGCGCAGCAAAACGAATCGCTAATCTTAACAACAATATTGAAGTATGTTACTTGGTGGACGGGGGTGACTAACAGTGGAATCCAAGATGCACAACCAATTTGGGACTCGCCAGCTGGATGTACCTGCATTCCTCAGCGAGTGATAGTGTTCCCCCTGGGGCTCGAACTCAGTGCCCGTCGTTCTAAACGCCACTTGAACCACGGGAGGAGGCACCTCTTGTGAGACCCAGGTAAATTGCTATTTCGTTTCAGTTGATTATTTGAATCACAGTGTTCAGCTTCTCTAGTACAAACCACTTCGATAATGTCTGATGGGGGTGGTGACTGACTGACTAGCAGTGGAATGGGATCCAGGATGTCGAACATTTCGTTCAAGTCAAACAAAGTATCAAGTATATCTTGTTTTATTTCAGTAGAAGCTTTGTATTTTATTTTCCTGAACAGCCCCGATATCTGATCTGAATAATTTTTTAGAAATGGTTGCCTATGCTTGAGGTTGAGTTCTAACAAATTTATTGCCCAGAGAAGACTAAGTACTGAACCAAGCAACATTTTGTATATTTATCATGAGTCTGTCTTGTGAACCCTTTTTACTTTGCTTCTTGACTTTCTATTTCAGGGCGTATAGATCAAGTTTTGACGTGATGTGTCAACCTCGTTCTGATAAGAAAAGTAAGTTGATTTTTTTCCATGTGTTTTTAAAATTTTGATCCACTTTGTACTACTTGAATTAAGCAGATATTTTATGTAAACTGGACTATTAATCTGAGTCTATATTATATATATTTGACTATGAGTGTGCAGACCATTTAGGCGAAGAAGAATAAAGAAGCAAGCTTTGAACTCTCAGGTTAACAAAGTGTGTGTGTGTGTATGTGTGATTTAAACGTATAAGATCCGGATTGTCAAAGACTTATCAATAATATTTAAGGTAATCAGGTTAATTAATTGAGATCCACTGATTGAAAAAAAATCTGGTTTACAAAACGGACCACAGTGTATAATTTTAAATTGATTTTATGATATTTTAAATGTCTTCTAGGTAGGTAGTTAGGTAGGTGGCTTCATTCCGTCGTTTTCAGTGCACACAGAGTGAAGAGGAAGTGAAGAGCCATTAAGTAGAGGAGTTGCATTAGTAGAAGAAAGGCAAGATAATAGAGATGAAGATGAAGACAAAGATGAGTGAGGATTAGAGAGGTTTCGCGTCCACTTCGGATTGTGAGGGCGATTGCTACTTCCCGGCTGCCCACACCGTGGAAGTTGGTTGCGTGGCGGCAGAGCCCAGGGGACAACTGCTTGAGGCCGGTCACACACGGCCTGTTTTTGTTTGTTCTTTTTTATTTGGTGTGTCTCAGTAGCGTATTTATCACTTCTGCCCTGTGACACGGCAGCAGAAAGCGCGGTCGTTGTTAATCCGGGCCCCGACCGATCCGGCATGATATTTTGTGATTTGTTTGAAGTTATAGGATTGGATTGGGTAACTGCTTTTAGTCTAACCGCTATCCAAACAACATTTCTGGCATGGTAGGACCTACAGGAACATAAGTTCCAGCCAGTGTAGCTCGTTGGGTCATTGTGATATGCAAGCCCGACCACCACGTCAAGGTAGCAGCTTTCGGTCGGCTATAAAGTTACATAGATTGAGATGGCTAGGTCACGTGCTACGCATGCCTAACCATCGCCTTCCCCGACGAGCATTACTAGCTGATATATGTGCAGGTTGGAAAAGAGTAATTGGTGGCCAAACAAAAACATGGCATCAATCCATGAAATCCCTGACAGTTAAACTGAGTCAGGTAGGGAGATGCAGACTTCCGGGTTGGGGCCCGCCCTCGGGACTCTAAGAATCAATGGCTGGAGACACTAGGTGACATGGCTCAAAATCGTTGTCAATGGGGCAGATGTATTCAGTCTCTATAATCTTTCATATTCCTTTCTCTCATTACTCATTCTGTTTCACTCTTATACTTGTCAAAACTCTATTGATTCTCTTCACTCATCTTCTTGTCTACCTTTGTGTGCTATTTGGAACGTGGCAACTCGAACTACTGCACTTCGGTGCCAAGTTCTATGTTGAATCCAGCCAGCCAGCAGGTGGCTTCATATGAAAATTAATACAGTGTGATTTAAGATAAATGTTATTCATTTTTATGAAATAGAGATGTGTCAGTGAGTGAAAAAGTATCTAAGGAGATAGTGCCTCAGGATTATTAATTGAACTGGCTGACATTTCTACTATGGTAGGTACGTAGGTAGGTATGATCCGATTTGATATGCCATAGTTTTGAATTCCTACGGGACTTTATTGCTAACAAGATGTTGAGTCTTTCATTGACTGTTCGAAAATGTTTAGATAGACTTTCTGCCTTCTCAGATGGTATACTGATGCTTTATTATTGCCTACTCATCAAATCAATATACCGTCTGGCGGCACATTGATTCTAGTTAATTGATTGCCCGAATTGATTCCTTCATTCACCTGATAAATCGAATCAGCAGCGGTGAGAGAGTAGTGCCTCAAAGTGGTTTGACTTTCGTTAAACTTCTTGACTTTTATTTCAAGTTACGAATATTTGGGTAGCCCATTATCGATCGATTTATCGATCACTATTGTGTATATTATTATATTATTGTTTCCTTTAATTCCTAGAGGAACATAGGGCTTCAGCCGTGCGTTTCCATTGCGTTCGGTTCTCTGCTAGAGTTTTCACCTGGCTCCAAGTCTTCCTACACGTTTTCATTTCCGCTTCACATGACCTCCTCCAAGTCACTCTTGCACTGACGACCAACTCGCCGCTTCCCTTTCGGGTTCCACTCGAGCAATGGCTTGGCGTGTGATATCACTCGATGGCTTTGTTTCCTCACAGTATGACCAATCCATCTCCATTTCTTCCTGCCTATTTGTTTCACAATCGGTTCCTCCTGTGTTGGTTCGCTCATTGCCAGAGATCTCTGTTGCTGATCTTTTCTGTCCGGCTATCTGATCTTGAGTATTGAGCGAAGAGAGCTGTTAATGAAGGTCTGTAGTTTGTTTGAGATGCTCTTTATGACGCGCAGTGCAAGTCTCTGATCCGTATAGTGAGTAGCACTGACTTCACATTGGAGTTGAAAATCCGGATCTTATTTTTGATGCTGAGTGCTGTTGACCTCCATTGTGTACTTATGTGCAATGTTCAACGTTGGTTAATTCGTTTGTTATTATTTACTGTGAAGCGTATATCTTTTGCAAGTGTGTTGTAAATCTGTAAGAAAGCTCCAAACCATTAAACTATGCAGACATCAAGGGTATTTCTTAAAAAAATTGGGGATCTTTTCTTTCCTTTATAAAAAACATGAGGGCGTGTTCGATGATATGCTTGGATAGAAGACGGCCTGAATAGCTAGCTCCACACGAGCAAGGGAACTGATAGATGCACATTGATGAGGCCAGCATTTGGTAGTAGCTTATCCTTGACGTTTATGCGAATGATTGATTTTGTGGAGAAGGTTTTCTTCAATGAGCAGGATAGGCGGTTTCTCAGTATTTCTGCCGATGAGTCTCTATTATTTTAATTATTACTCAGTGTTATTCAATTATTGTGTTGTGTGTGTTCTGTACTTTCAGTACCAGTTGGTCGAGTTCAGCCTATGATTAAACAAGAAGATTCGCATCCAATGCATATTGCCAATCGGTCGGCATCATCCCCCGTGAATTACTTGTCATCGAATCGAGAGTCTGTTGTCTGGGGCGGATCTAATCCTGGTCTATTTGTGTTTACATCACCTTTTCATCAACAACAATCTCTCAATAATAATAATAATGGTAATAATAGTAATAATTCAAATGCTCAGAGGAATTGTAATCACTTGACAGGTGATGGTGATATTTTTTCAAGTGATACTCAAAAGCTAACAGAGCATCCATCTCCACGTAGACATCCACGTAAACATTATCCTCAGGTTTCATTGAATAGAGAAGATCAACAAGTTGTCCAACAGTCGAATCATCAGCTGTCAGCAGCTCATGCAGCTGCCGCGGCTTATCATAATCTTATGTTTTTCCAACTGCAACAACAACAATTACAACAGCAACAACAGCTACAACAACAACAACAGACTCAACAGCAGCAACAGCATCTTCAACATGGCAGTCTTATTCCTAGAATGTCGAATATCCATCAAGGAGGTGTTGGTGTAGGTGGTGGCATATCGAATAATCCTTGTAATAATATTACTAATGAAACTGTTGCATATCAACACTACCAACAACCCATAATATCATCTCGAGGTTGGCCAACAGCAACAGCAGCAGCAGCAACAACAACAAATCCTCGTAATTTTGTTGAAAATCCAACAGAAGCGAATGCAGTCGCTGCTGCATCATATTATGCTGCGGCAGCGGCGGCTGCAGCTGTTGCACACCATCAACAACAACAACAGCAGCAGCAGCACCACCACCAGCAACAACAACAAACATGTAAACAAGAATTAGATTTTCTTTATTAATCTTCAATCTATACAACATCATTATTGGTCCACTAGCACGCAATGTTGGACGATCTACTCACAATGTACTACTAACTGTTTCTGATAGGAACAATCCATTGATTAATTTACTACAGAATATCTGTGTGTATGTATGGATCGTCGGTGGAATAATGTTTTCAGGAATGTATGTAGGCGGCGGCGGCGGGGTGTGTGTGTATTTATTTCCTTGAACGTCAAATTACTATAATAGGATTTTTGCTACACCCTGCTAACTACTATTATTATTCTCTACCTCTGTTATTATTATTATATTATTATTGGGTAATTATTAGTTGGCTTAACACTATTCTCGCTTCCAATGTGTTTTTTTTTATCACACACACACACAGCATTCCCTTTAATTAAAATCTTTGCTCATTATTATTATTATTATTATTATCACTTTGAGTACTAGTATTAGTGGGAGTAGGGAGTGCGAGTGGTACAACATTAACTGCCCCCTTTTGCTTATAAAATTACACGTGTAAAGGCTTGGAGAGAGAATTGTTTAGCTAGGTCATTTTTCCCCTGTCTCTTCCTGTTGTTTGTATATACCATATTTTATGTGATTTTATGTGTGTGTTTTCTTGATCCTAATCAACTCTGTAAATGTGTTTACTTACAACTATTTAGCCTTAAAGCTGTTTCTCTCTCTGTGTGTGTGTGTTCACCAGATTTGTGAGGGGGGGGGGTTGTCGTCTTTATCAACCCCCTATGTCGCCTCTTCTATATCGATTTCCCCTTACTGTCTGAAAACAAATCCAGCACCACTGTGTGTGTGCATGTGTGCGTTTTATCTTCCTGATATGATTTGATTCACTGACGACTTCTCGAATCGTCTATTAAAACTGTGATTACTACTAAACCTACTTTATTTTTAAAAAAATATTGAAAATTATATATATATATATTATCGTTACCTTTATTACTGTTATCGTTATTATTATTATCATTATTGTTATTACTACTACTGTTATTATTATTATTGTTATTATTATTATTATATAAACACATGATTGATTGGTTGGTGTAATTCGATTGTACTGATTATATAAGTGAATGTTGTGAATGTTGAGTGGAATCTGTGTTCGGTATTAGATGGTTGGAGGCATTCGGCAAGAAGCCTTGGACCTAGGTTTCGTGCTAGTTGGCACTCATCAGCAAGGCGTATCTGCAACCTTGAAGGAACTGATGTCCCTTCTGAGATTCGAACCCGCGTCACCCAGTGCTGCAGTCAGAGACGTTACCACTGAGCTATTCAGGCTCGCGACTGACCTCCTGTAGGACTGTATTGGATATTTTTGATTGCACACTAGTCAGTAACTAGTGTAATGTGTCTAGTCCTATCTTCGGTGTTAACTGATGTCCCACCGATGATAGGACTAGACACATTACACTAGTTACTGACTAGTGTGCAATCAAAAAAGAAATCTGTGTTCACATTATTATTATTACGATTGTGCATCGGTAGCAAAGTGGTGTTAGGACTCTCGCCGACCACCGTGCACATGTTCCGGGGTTCGATCCCCTGCTGACGCGACGCACACCTGATATCTATGGTCGGCCTGCGAAATTTGGCCTACCGATATCATATGCTGAAAATTCCATATACACGTACCGAAAAAAATACGGTGTGGAATCAAGCTGTAATGAAAAAAATTAAAAAAATATATTGAGGGTGGGTAGATGGTTGGGGTTCCCTTAAGATGCCAGTAAACTTGCAAATTAATAAAATAGTTTGTTGGTTGTAATCATCGAAAGATGCAACTGGTTGTGAAAGAGTGACTGACACCGATAGATTGATAGATCTCCGTGTCATCCTCGAATCAATGTTCAACTCATCATTTCCCCACTCCAGAGGCCTGGTGGTCGGTGTCATCCGACAGTCTCCTCAACCTGTGTCTGATCCATCTCCATTTTCTTCAGAATATTTGTTGAAGTATTGGTTTTGTAGGGATTTTGTTTGATTGCATGGAGGATTTCATCATGAGCTGACATCAGTTAGAGAGCCACTGGAAAACCAACTGGGAGTACTGGACAGCTGTTTCCTCCGTCCTAGTTTGGGACTCTTCATCAGTACGCCTTGTAACCAGAAGGTCCTGGGTGGGTGCGTACGAAATCCCAGCACAGATACAAAAGGCTCATTTGACATTTGCCAACCTACATCCCCTCTGGCGTAGACGTGATATCCAACTGTCGATCGAAGAAAGTGTATACTGCTCAGCAGTCACTTCGCTCCGTCCTCCTTTATGGCTGTGAGACCTAGCCATTGAAAGTGTTAGACATGAAAAAGCTAGCTGTCTTTGATCATTGGTACCTCTGTTCTATCTCCCATGTTAGATGCTATATTAGAACGAGTAATAATAAGGTTAAGCGTCGAATGTTGGTAAGAGAGAGAAATCGATCGACGAGGTTGTGGGAGCTATATCTATTTAGATGGTTAGGACATGTATTACGCATGTCTAGCCACTGATCTTCTTCCTCGACGTGTGATTTTAGCCGACTGACATAGGATGGATCAGGTTGGAAAAGAGAGAGCTGGTGATGGTCAAAACAAAACATAGCTTCATCATCAGCCTTGGCAGTTACTTCTAGCCAGTCACCTTAAGAGGTGTGGGCTTCCTGGTCAGGTTCCTCGGGTTTCTAAGAAAGAATGGAAACTGGAGATATAATTGGTGATATGGCTCGAAATCGTTGTGAAGGATGGCTCAGATACATTCAACTCTTCGTGATTTTCTATAGTTTGGTTTATAAGAGTTAGTTATGTTTTTACGAGTTGATCACGGACTGATATCAGTTAGAGAACCATTGAAAACCAGAGAGTACTGGACAGCTGCTGTTTCATCCTAGTTTTGGGAATCATCGGCAGTACGCACCCACTGTGATTTATATGCACTGAAACTCAGTTGTTCTCCCATATTACTACTATTCTTTTTACCTCAGACTTCTGTAGATTACCTTTCTTTTTAATCTCTCTTATCATGCTTTGTGTGCCACATGTAGTGTGGCAAATATAAACTTCTCTTATTCTATGCAAAGTTTTATGTTGAAACCAGTCAGTTAGTGGATTTTTAAGGTTATCAAGCTAAACTATTGTTTAGCGTCAATTCATATATAGTTGAATCGGAACCTGAAGCACACTGGTTAAATGTGGAATGTTTAACCTAGCCAACTGTAAATTCATGACCGAAAATTATCAGTGTCTTGTACAAATGAATATGTGTGAAATAAACTCACGAAATTTTATTATTATATTATTATTGTTCCCTTGGGTTCCTAGTGGAACATAGGGTCTCAACTGCACGTCTCCACTTGCTTCTGTCTTCTGCTGTGCTTTTCACTTGCATCCATGTTATTCCATACTGTTTCAACTCCTCTTCACGTGATCTCCTCCATGTCACCCTTGGACGTCACACTCGCCGCTTCCCTTTCGGGTTCCACTCGACCGATGGCCTGATGCGCGATGTCACCCAACGGCCTCCTCACTGAGTGTCCAATCCATCTCCACTTTCTCCTGCATATATGTTGGCCGATTGGTTCTCGTTTCATTTGTTTCTTCCCATAGTTTCTTGTTGGTGATTCTTTTCGGTCGGCCATCTGATCTTCAGTATAGAACGAAGACAGTTGTTGATAAAGGTCTGCAACAGGCTGTTGGAAATATTCTTTGTGACACACCGGCCAAGTTTCTGATCCGTATAGAAGAACTGACTGACTTGACGTTTGTATTGAAAATCCGAATTATTTTTGTTGTTGATGCTGAGTGACGAAGATTTCCAAATTGGTTTCAGGTTGATGAATGTGTTTCTCGCCTTACCGATCCTCTCCTGTAGTTGAGACAATGCTCCCTAGATAAGTGAATGAAGTAACCTCTTTCAAATCCCTCCCGTTGATGGTGATTGGCGGTGGATATTGTTGCTGTTGTTGTTGTTGGTTGGTCGGTTATTTTCATAACTTCCGTCTTGTCTATGTTCACCTGGAGTCCTGTCTTTGCTGCTTCTTCGACCAGTTTGTCGGTTTTCGCTTGTAAGTCTTCGATTTTGTGTGACACCAAACATAAATCATCCACGAAATCCAGGTCTTCTAGATTCTTCATGTCGGTCCAGGATATTCCTGTCTTGTCGTTTCCCACTGTCTGACGCATAATCCAGTCCACCACAATTAGGAATATCATTGATGATAACAAGCACCCTTGTCTGACTCCTGTGTTTACTCCAAACTCCTCGCTGAGTTTTCCGTCGTGGATCGCTTGACATGTGCCATTGTTGTACAGCTGTTGAATAAGGTTGATGAATACTTAGGGTACGCCGTAGTACTTTAGTAGTTTCCAAAATTCTTCGCGGTCAACGCTGTCGAAGGCCTTCTCAAAGTCTATAAAGTTGAGGTAGAGTTTTGATTGCCATTCCACGCTTTGTTCTGTGATGATGATGCGTAGAGTGTCAATTTGGTCAGAACATGATTCGCCTTTCCTGAATCCAGCTTGTTCTGGTCGGAGTTCTGTATCCAGTGTGTCCTTGATTCTCTCCAGGATGATGCGACTCAGGATTTTACTTGGTGTCGACAGGAGCATGATTCCTCGCCAGTTCTTGCAGAGTCCATATATATATTCAAAGATTGTTTTCTGTTATTTACTGGCCCAATTAATTCACAAAAATTCTGAAGTCCACACTATGCATACCTTTATGAATGCTTTCTTCTGTGTCGTATGTATGTGTTATGATTTGCATAAATTTTGATGTGTGAAGACTTTGCATTTATCGATTAAAAGACCTTCTTTATCACATTCTAGACTCAGATGACAGTAATGACTGAAGAAATATTCTTGTCGACAATATTAGTGCTGTTTTAAATTGCACTGAATCGATAGTATCCATTAGTGGAGATTACATTTGAAAAGCATCAGTTTGCGAGAGATAGATAGAAAGAGAGATAATGTACATTAATGTAACTCTAAACACTCAGCTTAAGAAACAAGATTCGCACTGTCAACACTTTTCAGCAGTAGGCACCCACCGCCTCGGTTCGAACGCAGGACCTTCTGGTTACAAGGCCGTCAAGCTAGCTCGTAGACCATTAAGCCAATCACCGGGACCCCATCCAATGGCCAGCTAGCCCATGAATTCTAAATACTGCCAATTCACGATACAGCGCGACTACTAGCCAATATCTTCGCCGAGTATTTGACAT